ATAGCTTGATTTTGGTCTCATCTGACCACAACACTTTTACCTAGTTCTCCCTTTAAGAGAGTGCTCCTAATCTCAGCTCATGCATAAAAGACATGTGGGAGCCAACAATCTTGCTGATTGATAGGGGATCAAATACGGATTTCACTCATTGACATGCAAATCAATGTATAACTTTTTTGACATGTGTTTTTCTGGATTTTTTTTTGTTTTGTTATTTTGTCTCTCGCTGTTAAAATACACCTTCCATTAAAATTATAGATTGATTATTTCTTTGTCAGTGGACAAACGTTCAAAATCAGCAGGAGGTCAAATACTTTTTTACTTCTCTGTAATTCCCAAAATAATTAATAGTTCTCAATGAAAAAGTTCAAAAAAAGTAACATGAAATAATAGATTGATGTGATCTCCTGGGCAGAATTAGGTTTGAAGGCAGGAACGCCACACCGCCGTTGTGAATCTCAGTGGAGCACTCTGATTGGTTGGCAGGGGCAGCAGGGGACGTTAGGATGTCCACTGGCTACAACTGGAGGAATGGGAATGGACAGTGATCGCTTTACCCCCATTATGCCAAGTGATGTCAATGGGTGAGTGCACAAGGGAATGGTTCCCCCTTGTTATTTCACAATGGCTGCCCAATCGCGAGTGGTTTATGTTTAGTAGATTTGCGGCACAGGGAGGTTAAAAACAATAATTTACATTTGTAACTTTTTAAATGTGGTGGCTGGATAGCAAGCGCTGGCCATCTGCCAAATGGTTAACCTTTGTGCTGGCGAGGTTTATCCAACTGTTTACCTTGCTTCCTTGAGATTCAAGCAAAGAAATCTATGAGACAGAAAAGGGAATTTTTTTAAACCCCTACATACTCTCTGTCTCATTAGAGATTTATTTGCCTGAAGCTCAAGGAAGCAAGGTAAATGTTTAGTGTAGGACCCACCGAAGAGGTCTGCCTTGATGTGGCAGGTGGGCTTATATCTAATGGCCATTGGAGTAACTTAATAACCTCCATTTATTTAAATATACATAGGGATTTGGGAAGTGCGCAGGTAACTTTTTTTCTTTTGGTTTTTACTGTATGTATGGGGGCTGATGTGTACTGTAGTCGTTGCTGCCACCCAAGAGTAGTGGGAGTTTGAGCGCAGGACTTATTTTTGTGTATACAGGTGATACTTGAAAAATTAGAATATTGTGCAAACGTTCATTTATTTCAGTTATGCAACGTAAAAGGGGAAACTAATATATGAGATCTGCAAAGCAATAAACTCCATTACATGCAAAGCAAGATAGTTCAAGCCGTGATTTGTCATAAGTGCGATGATTATGGCTTACAGCTCATAAAAAACCCAAATCCACAATCTCAGTAAATTAGAATATTACATGCAATCAATAAAACAAGGAGTGTACATAGAACAATATCGGACCTCTGAAAAGTATAAGCATGCATATGGACTCAGTACTTGGTTTGGGCCCTTTTGCAGCAATTACTGCCTCAATGCGGCGTGGCATGGAAGCTATCAGCCTGTGGCACTGCTGAGGTGTTATGGAAGACCAGGATGCTTCAATAGCGGCCTTCAGCTCTTCTGCATTGTTCGGTCTCATGTCTCTCATCTTTCTCTTGGCAATGCCCCATAGATTCTCTATGGGGTTCAGGTCAGGAGAGTTTACTGGCCAATCAAGCACAGTAATCCCATGGTCATTGAACCAGGCTTTGGTGCTTTTGGCAGTGTGGGCAGGTGCCAAGTCCTGCTGGAAAATGAAGTCAGCATCCCCATAAAGCTCGTCTGTGGAAGGAAGCATGAAGTGCTCCAAAATCTCCTGGTAGACAGCTGCGTTGACCCTGGACTTAATGAAGCACAGTGGACCAACACCAGCAGATGACATGGCTCCCCAAATCAACACAGACTGTGGAAACTTCACACTGGACTTCATGCATCTTGCAGTGTGTGCCTCTCCATTTTTCCTCCAGACGCTGGGTCCTTGGTTTCCAAATGAGATGCAAAAGTTGCTCTCATCAGAAAAGAGGACTTTAGACCACTGAGTAACAGACCAGGTCTGTTTTTCTGTAGCCCAGGTAAGACGCTTCTGACGTTTGTTGTTCAGGAGCGGCTTGACAAGAGGAATACGACATCTGAAACCCATGTCCAGGATCCGTCTGTGTGTGGTGGCTCTTGATGCACTGACTCCAGCCTCAGTCCACTCCTTGTGAAAGTCCCCAACACTTTTGAATGGCGTTTTCCTGACAATCCTCTCCAGGCTGCGGTCATCCCTGCTGCTTGTGCACCTTTTTCTTCCACACTTTTCCCTTCCACATAACTTTCTATTAATGTGCTTTGATACAGCACTTTGGTAACATCCAACTTCCTTCGCACCTTTTGAGGCTTTTCCTCCTTATGGAGGGTGTCAATGATGGTTTTCTGCACAACTGTCAGGTCAGCAGTCTTCCCCATGATTGTGATTCCTACTAGGCATGTGCATGGGGAAAGTTCTCGGTTCGGCATTCCGAAATTCTGGATTTTCGCAATTCGTGACTTCGGCAATTTGGAACTTCGGCAACTTCGGCACTTCGGAACTTCAACATTTCGGAATTTCGGCACTTCGGGACTTCTATTGCAGCCGCTTAGTAGATAATACCCTAATTCCCACGGCATTAGGGAGTTATCTACCAAAAGGCTGAAAGACCTAAATTTGTCTTTCAGCCAAATTTACTAATACTAAGTAAAAATTACTTAGTATTAGTAAATTTTGCCCCTACTCGCTATACCGTGAGTAGGGACATGTCTAGTAAACAGTGAGCAGCTTACGGCTGCTCACTGTTTTAAAAAATAAACATAGGGTCCCCTCTCCCGAACCCCCACCCGCGATGTGCGAGTGGGGTCTTTTAAACTAAAGGGGGGACCCCTGAGTGGTTGGTGGGAGCCCTAAATACTAATAAGGGGGGGACCTAATGTCCTCCCTCTGTCCCCCATCCCTGAGTGGCAGATGGGGGCCCTAAATTGGAATAAGGGGGGGACCTAATGTCCCCCCCGGCCCCCACCCCTCAGTGGCGGGTGGGGGCCCTAAATACTAATAAGGGGGGGACCTAATGTCCTCCCCCTGGGCCCCCACCCCTGAGCAGTGGGTGGGGGCCCTAAATTGGAATAAGGGCTGGACCTAAAGTCCTCCCCCATGACCCCCACTCCTGAGCGGTGGGTGGGGGCCCTAAATACCAATAGGGGGGACCTATTGTCCTCGCCCTGGCCCCCACCCCTGAGCGGCAGGTTGGGGCCCTAAAAAAAATGTTCCGCCCAGGTGACTAGGGGTCCCCAAACCACTAGTCATCCCCTCCCCCACAAAAAAAATTATCCCCCTACCTACCCTCCTCACCCTAATAATAATGAGGGGGGGACCTTTAACTAAGTACCTGTAAAAAAAAACTAAAAACTTACCATTCAATGTTTTCTTTCTTCTAAAATCTTCTTTTTTCAGCACCAAAAAAGGCCAAATAAAAAACCATAATAACCGACACAATTAACAAAAAAAAAAAAAAACGAGCGCAAAAAGGAAATAATCCATCTTCACCCGGCGAGGGCTACGCGTAGACTGAGCTCTGCAGGGCGGGGGAAGGCTTATAAAGCCTTGCCCCACTCTGCAATTAGGCTCAGAGTACTCTGATTAGTGGGTTTAAGCCATCCAATCAGAGTGCTCTGACAGGTAAATGAAGAGACTGACAGGTAAGTCTCTACATTTACCTGTCACAGCACTCTGATTGGTTGTTTGAAATCCACCAATCAGAGTGCTCTGTGTCATTTTACACAGCGTGGGAAAGTTCTTTGGAATTTTCCCACGCTGTGTAATTTGACTCATAACTCTCTGATTGGTTACTTTCAATCCACCAGAGTGTTGTTGTACTGGCTAAGTAACTTACATTTTATATGAATGTATGTTACTTGATTGTTGTAAGTGTTGCAAACGCTTACAGCTGATTCCTTGCTATGTTTGTATACTTTTTATTTAAAATTGTATACAATGTAACATTCTTCTTCTTTCACTGGGTAAGTATATTAGTACTTAGGCAATACTGTACTTCGGCACTTCGGAAATTCGGTAATTTCGGAACTCCGGGACCTCTGCAATTCGGCACTTTGGCAATTCGGACATTCGGAAGTACCCGAATGTCCGAATTGCCTGAAATTCGTCCGAATTCATTTTCGGACCGAAACGAATAGCGCATGTCTAATTCCTACTGAACCAGACTGAGAGACCATTTAAAGGCTCAGAAACCCTTTGCAGGTGTTATGGCTTACTTAGCTGATTAGAGTGGGACACTTTGAGCCTAGAATATTGCACCTTTTCACAATATTCTAATTTACTGAGATTGTGGATTTGGAGTTTTCATGAGCTGTAAACCATAATCATTGCACTTATGACAAATCACGGCTTGAACTATCTTGCTTTCACTGTAATGCGTCTATCTCATATATTAGTTTCCCCTTTTACGTTGCATTACTGAAATAAATGAACTTTTGCACAATATTCAAATTTTTCGAGTATCACCTGTATGTATCAACTCTGAATATATTACTTGATCTGTCCTAATCTAACGGAAACCATAAACCAAAGTGATTTATTGACTGATATTCATTTGGGGTGCCAGACCAACCTTTAAGAAATAGGTAATATCTTGGGAACTGGGTTAGCTCTAACAACACAGTATCTCCTCTACTGATCAGATTATAAGTACTTTAGTTTTTAGAGAGAGATTGGATACCAGAACAAAAAAGCAAGTCTATAAAATAGGCATTTTGTTCATTTGTCACCATGCTGTTGTGTTACTATTTTGTGAATTACTACAAAATATTTAAAAATATATATATATATTCTATAGTTTTACTTTAATGCCACCATGTCTTACATTTTGTGACTGTATTGCATTTTGCCCTTTCTACCTACAGGCTGCCCAACATTTCTGTATCTTTGTATCAGTTGTCACTTTGAGGTCGTTCCGGTGTCACCAGTAACAGACAATGCTCATTGGGTCCAACTCCAGCTTCTCCATGCCATCCACCTTCCTGCTGATCGGCATTCCTGGATTAGAAGATGGCACTCTATGGATCTCCATTTCATTCTGTGCTATATATATTGTGGCTATTGTTGGAAACTGTATAATACTATATGTCATCAAGACAGAGAAAAGTCTTCATGGCCCCATGTACTTCTTCCTCTCTATGCTAGCTCTCAATGACGTGGTCTTCTCCAGTTCCACTGTGCCACAGATGCTGAGCATCTTCTGGTTTGATGCTGGTCGTGTAGATGCTGTTAGCTGCCTCACTCAGATGTTCTTTGTTCATTCAATTGCTGTGGTTGAGTCAGGCATACTTACAGCCATGGCTTATGACAGATTGATTGCCATCTGCTTCCCATTGAGATATATGTCCATTCTCACCAATGTCTTACTGGGAAAGATTGCCACAGCCATTGTGGGTAGAGGAATTGTAATCATTTTTCCCATTCCGATTTTGGTGGGACGGCTGCATTTTTGTACAGAGAATATAGTGTCCCACACATACTGTGATCATATGGCTGTGGTTAAAGTGGCATGCGGAGATACCAAAATTAATTATTTTTATGGTCTTGTGATCTCTCTTTTTATTACTGGCTTTGACCTCGCATTCATCATACTTTCTTATGTTATGATTTTACGAGCTGTCCATAAACTGCCCACTAGGGGCGCTCGTCGCAAGGCTCTGGGCACATGCGGATCTCACGTTTCTGTTCTTACATTTACATATTTCACGGCAATATTTTCCTTTGTCACTTATAGGTTTGGACAAAATACAATTCCCCATAGTGTGCATATCTTGGTAGCAAATATCTACATATTATTCCCAGCTCTCTTGAACTCTCTTATTTATGGGTTGAAAACAAAGCAAATCAGGCAGAGAGTGCTGCGATCTGTTACTCATAATATCAGCACCTTAAAACCTCAGAGGTAATGGCAATGATTTGCATAAGATATTTAAAGGAAGTAAGACAGAAATTACTAAGCAGAAAATTCTAGTAAATTGAAAACCAGGGCCTTGAATTAATTATATCTACAGAAGCCAGTCAATCATTTTTGAATGTTGTTGGTCAATTTTTAAAATCACATTTCAGCTGAATTTAATGCCATCTGAAATGTAAGTATAGGAACCCAAAAACCGGGTTGCCAGGTCAAAATAAAACCACAGATAAATGTGCAGTGAAAGCACACATATCTGCTTTTCTTAATTACTAACCTTGCTAATCATTACATAAATAAAACTTATGAGGGCAATATGATCCACATATTTAGTAGACTTGCCCCCCACCCACCAGGTTGTTGATGTAAGGAGAAATCTGATTGTCATTATAGCGTCAAGAAGAATTTTTTTTACCTTCTTTTGGATCAATAAATAAATGGACTTTATGGTGGAACTTGCATGGATTTTAGTATTTTTTCAGCCTAAACAGCTATGCAACTATATCAAATGTTACCATATAAAATAAAGTTCCACTTCACAAGACAAAACTAAATTAAAATGAAATCCATTGAGGGCTTCACATAGAATGAAGGGCAAGTGGAGAATGACCATATAAGGCATTTCCCATGCTTTGCAAGCTCAGTCAAAGCAACCTGATTGGTTGACTTGGAATCAGAGCACTCGGACAGGCAACTCCTATTTGTCTATTCAAAAACCTCAGATTGGAATTCCCTTACTGCATCTGTACCTCAATACCCCCCAACATAGACCAAGATTTCAGAGCTGTTTTAGAGCCAAATTACAGACATCTGTATTCCAGTTCTCAAATTTCCAATTTTCACAGGTTTATTTACTGGGCCCATGTTATATTCGGACACAATATCATCTAAAAACCGCTTTACCCCTGTTACGGTAAGCTATTTGTAAAAGAAATGGCATCGGTTGTTTAATAAGAATTTTTTCTCTTTTCATTTGACCATTTCATCTTCGATTACAGCCGAATGTTTTTATAGCTGTAAATTGTTTTTTTTTTACATTTTAATATTGAAATTTGATGGTGAATTTAACAAACGTTGTGGGTTCTACAGCCATGCCCCACATGTACACCTTTGCCAGGTTTTTGAGGAATCACAGTGAGGTATCCCCACAAGTCTGACATCCTCAAACAGCCCAGATCTGAGCACACAAGTTCACCAAATATCAATCGGATCCGTATATATATACTGTGCATCCAATTCAATCATAAAACGAGGCCAAGCGATACCATCTTCTAACTGCTGTTATCATTGATACCCACTAGCCAAATGACCGTTAGCTGCATTCAAGGATTTTTGCTGCCGTAGGCAAAATAAAAATGTGCCGCTCCCCCATATGCGATGCCCACCATGTGACATTACAAAGCCCCACCCATACGATCGGCCATACGAACTAACGCCAGTGCTGCACACAGTGTATGTTTACATTAAAAAGCCGACAGGGACCGCCTATAGACACCAGAACCATTACATTAAGCTGCAGTGGTTCTGGGGACTATAGTGTCCCTTTAATGAGGTCAATTATAGATTAGTGCCATTAATAATATGCTAGATTGCCTACTTACAACCAGATGAGGATGATGATGGCTGCAGTTTGGCTCCACTGGTCTGGTGTAGAACAGGATCTCTGGAGGCTGGTGTAGAACAGGATCTCTGGAGGCAGGATCTCTGGAGGCCCACCCATGAGTTCGCTCACAGGGAGTGGAGTGTGTAGGGGATGTGTTATGTGTTATTGTAGAGGATCTAATGTGTGTGCTTATGCAATGAAGTGTGTAGGGATACCAGTTTGTGTATGTAGTGTGTGTGTGTGTGTGTGTGTGTAGTGGATGCAGTGTGTTTTTAAGTAAGGGATAGAAAGTAGTGTGTGTTTCTGTGTAAGGGATGCATTGTGTGAATCTGTGTTTGTATATGTAAAGGATGCAAGATGTGTTTCTGGGTGTGTAAGTGATGCATTATGTGATTCTGTGTTTGTATGTTTAAGGGATGCAAAGTGTGTTTCTGTGTATGTAAGGGGTGCTTCGAGTGTGTGTACGGGGTGCATTGAGTGTGTGTAAGAGATGCGTTTTGTTTCTGTGTGTGTATGTCTGTGTGTGTTCCAGAGAAACTGTTTACATTGCAGATCTAAGTCTTCCCACAGTTGCTGTCTACTAGACAGCCACTAGAGGTGCTTCCTGAATTGTAACAGATTCCTTTGCCCCATTATCTGACGCTGGACGTCCACATGCTCTGCATGAGGACCTCCAGTGTCAGATTTTTCCCCATAGGAAAGCATTGATTAATGCTTTCCTATGGGAAATCCTAATGCGAGCACGCTCATTGCCGCACATGCGCATTAGTGCTCCCTGCTGTGGGGATATTTATGGGGTGATAAATATTACAAATAATATTTTCATTAAAATTATCAAAAATGTATTTAATAATTTTGATTACATCAAAATGTATATCTTGGCACGGAATCCCCAAATGAATAATATAAAGTTGAGAATTGCCCACTATTTCAATTCTCTTAGATCCTATAGAAAGCCATTGGAAGATTTTATTCCATACAAATAAATCACAATTTGATTATAAAAATATAATTTATTGTGACATCATAATAAAATAATAATAATATGTAACATGCGTGATAATAATCAGTGAATATTTAGTATAATGTAAGTATACAACAAAATAGCAATGGTTTTAAACAAATTCAATGGCTACAGCATCAACTGTCAAGACTTACAAATTTACGATATGCAAACAATCCCACAGGACACAGAAAGCTAAACTTCACAGGACACAGAATTCCTCACAGTGCACAGTACAGCGAAAAGTCATAAAATCTTGGCTCACAGTTAGATCACTTGATTAACTCTTTCAACGCTGGCTAAATCCTCCTAGGCATGTAATATCCTATCCTATTGGCTATTTTTAATTAAATAACGTTCATAACCATTCCTATAACCATCCAATAAAATTATCTACCAGCTTTAATTTTAGCTGCATTTTTAATTCCCCTAAATAAGATTTTCTATCCCATTTCAGAGCAAATCAATACATCTGGTTAAAAACAGCGGTATGCTAACACGTGATAATATCACATTAATATATAATTATTTTTATTCCACCTGCAGAATGGAATGTTTATAACTATATATTCTTTTGTTAACTAAGATTTCTCAATTATTGAATCTGACCATGATTTATCCAGGCATATATCATGCTATTAGAAATTTTAATTAATTTAAATTAACTAAATAAAACCAGCATAATTAACCAGTTATGTTGAAGATGTTCTCATCAGATGATTAGATAGTCCCAGGAACTTGAATGGAAGTATGGTTATGTGGAGGTATGCATGTAATAGAGGAAGTGATGTTGGTTTGGAAAGTTGAGTCACAGAGAGTTTGAGAGAGTGTAAGTCCCAGAGTGTGTATCCTCTGTCCTGGATGTGCCCATCTCCCTGAATGTCCTCATCTGACTCCTTGTCTGAGTGTCCCTCTCTTCCCTTTGTTCCTACTTTTTAAAGGGCCAAACTCTCTGTACGTCATTATCTGATAAGGCCAATAGGAGCTGTAGGGATGGTTTATTTTATCTAGTATTATCTAGTTTTTGGTCAGTAAATGGTGCTCTCACCTCACCAAAATGTCATGTCCAGGAAAGAGTTAACTTTTCCTGATGACGATTTTGACGTCATTTGGCTTATCTAAAATGACTACCATAACTTAAATTTGCTGTCAGTTCAAAGCGTTTGCCTCGGTCTTTGTGGCAACGACTTTGATCGTAATTTCTAGGATTGACATGTCTAAACTCAATTTCACCCCTTACTTACAATGGAACCTTGTAAAATTTAGAAAGTAAAATTAATTACTTAGTCTTCTCTGTCACTAGTGTCTGTGTTTAAAATTATTTCTATTCCATTAAGATTTAAACAGAGCATTCCATCCCCCTGCTTCATTGCTTATCATTTGGCTTGTTTACATAATGCATTCCTTAGCTCAGACTAGTGGCTAGTGTTACTGAAAGCAAGGAAAGAAATGTGTCTTTGTTAGACAGAAGATCCAAAATGAAGTCCGCTCTGTTCTGAGTGACTCCGGCAATATACACTTTTAATTTCTATTTTAGCACAAAATGTCTGCCGATATAAATATCCTGACACCGCCGACGACAGGGGAGGAGTGTGGACGGAGCCTGACCCAGTGCTGAGGGACATGGGTGCTGGAAAAAGGTAAGTGACTGAAGGGGTTTTTAACCCCTTGTTTAACTGGCACTACAGAATCCCTTAAAAAAAAAACCAAGATACAGAACCCTGACAAAAGTCACTAAAAGTGATAAAATGCTGTGGGTGAAGAATATTGATGACTTCATGATTGGTGAAGTTAATTATATGCTTTTTAACCTGTTTTAAATTGCGTATAAATAAATATGCTGCTAAGTTTTATCATATTGGTGCCCTGCACTATTTGCCCTCCATTTATTTTAAATTGAATCCCCTACCTGATGGAAAGCATCATAGGGGGCCCACTCTGTATGTTATTACGGACGCTGCCCTGTCACTAATCTTTTATTATAGCAGGCAGTCACTGGCTGGTCATTGTTTATTGGATGTAAGCCCACTCCTGGCATAGTGAGTAGGAGTCTGAGGGCGGTTTCAATCCTCCCTTATACTAACATGAGGGTCTTCTTGACTGCCATAGGTTTTGTTTTTAACTATATGTTCGCAGGCTGCTAGTATTTTCCTGTCAATATTTTAAAGGCCATTTATCGATAAATGACATTGAATCGTTAATTTCGATAACAAAATCAGAGAATATGAGAGCTCTGAGAATCGACAGAAACTCAGCCCTTCGGTTAGGTCCGGCTCAGGTCTCAAAAATGTTTTAACTTAAGAGTGCCATTAAAAAGAGAACTTATAACATCTGCATATCAGACTGATCCCACCCATGAAGGTACAAGTTTCCTCTGCACGAGAGACAC